TGTCTGCTGCCTGTTCCCCCCAACACCTCGTGTTCGCACAGGCTCATGTGCTTCTTCTCTGTGGACTTTGTTGTTTCCGAGCTAGATGGCCACTTGTTTGCCTACAAGCCTTTAAGACCCCAGACGCTATATCTTTTGATAGCCGGGGACATTGTCTTTTAAGGAGGCATCCTATTACGTTGTCTGAATGTTCTGGGGTTTGTTCGTCCATTCCTCTATGTTGGTGCGTTTTTATATTGTTTCCAACCTTGTGTTATTATAGAAATTGCTGCAGTAAACATGGGTGTGTATATGTCTGTTCCTGGCTGGGTCTTTATTTCTTTAGCGTATATACCAACTAGAGAGAGTGCAGGATCATAAGGTATTGCATTTGCAGTTGTTTGAGGAAGCGCCACATGGTTTTCAATAGTGGTTGTACAATTCTATAATCTCACCAGCAATGTCTGAGCATTCCAATCTCTCCACATCTTCTCCAGCATTGATTACTTTTTGTTTTTAATTTTGCTAAGAGTGATGGTATGAAGTAGTATCTCATTGTTGCTTTAATTTGTATTTCTCTGACAACTAATGAACACAAATATTTCTTCCTATGCTTGTTGGCCACCTGGATATCATCTTTGATAAATTGCCTATTCGTGTCTTGGGCCCATTTTTTATTGGGCTATTTGTATTTTTCTTATTAAAGTGTTGTAGTCTTCTATGGATTTTTGAAATTAGCTCTTTATCTGATATATCATTGCTGTGTGAGACAAGGCTCTCTAGAGAACCCAAACCAGGACACTTATGATGATATAGGTATGAGGCTAGGTTTATACAGCAAGGAATATAACAGATAACTAGTCCACACTGCAGTACAGAGGGCTCAGTTCAACTCACTTTTGTGGGACAGTTAATATACTGGAAGTCCTTCAACTCACAGGGCTGCTGAGTCCAAGGTCAAGGAAGCAGACAGCAGAGTTCTCCCTCAGGCAAGGCAGGCAGAGTCTGCCCACAGGCAGCCAACAGCTGGGTGGGTCAGCAACAGTCAGTAGCTCAGTAGCTTAGCTAAGCAGACCTAGATGGGATATTGAACGGTGACAGGATCCAAGCTCAAGTGATGTACGATGTACCAGCAGCATGGCAAAGCAGGTCTTGAAGGAACCTCAAGCTCTAGTGACATGAACCATGGGTTGGCTTGGTGCACACACAGGTGATGTAGCTCACAGGTTGAGGCAGAGAACTACCCAAGGCAGCAGCACGCATGCTCCAGCACACTCTGATCACCAGAAAGCAGGAGAGAGGTCGGCCTTGCAGAGCCATTCATCTCTTTGCCCTCCAAACAAACTGTGACCTGATCAATCCCATGTGTTCCTGTTGGCCAGGTTGGCACAATCAGCCTAACTATCACAATTGCTATTTCCACCCCAGTCTATGGGTTCTATAACATTTGTTGTGTTTAGACGTCTAATACCTATATACCCGGGAAGTGTTTCCTTGGCTTCTAGGGCTGATTAAGTTAGAGTGGGACAAACCACGGTGGTGGCCCTGAAGGTCTCTTAGGACTCGGTCGGGTTCAGGAGCAGCATGCAGGCTTTGGGGGAGCAGCCGTGGGGATGGGGTTCCACAAGGCACAAGCCCCAGGCTAACACTTCCATCTGGGCAACAGCAAAAGCGTTCATTATGATTTAGCCTATCTCACTGCCACCGAGTCATAGTGACGCTACAGGACAGGGTGGAGCAGTTTCCAAGACTGTCACTGCTCAAGGTAGTAGAAAGCCCCTTCTGTCTGCAGAGATGCAGCTGGTGGTTTTGAACTACTGCCTTTCCAGATAGCAGCCCCACATGCATCACCACGACCCACTGGGGGTCCTGATGACTTGACCTGGCATTCCATTATTTGCTTGTCAACATTTGATGTGAGGAGAGGCTAGACATTCCTGTCATAAACGGTCATTTAACCAAGACTTTTAACTCAAAATAAAAAAAATCTGCTTCCTTGGAAAGTCGTCCTGAAGTGAGGCTCCCGATGCAAAATGGTCTTTTTAACAGCCATTGATCGTGTCGGCTGATCTCATCTGATCCCTTCTTTACAGATTGATGTTCTCAAGGCAGACCTGGAAAGCGCAGAATGGAAAGTTTTGGAAAACCTCATCCTGGACGACGTCCTTGAGCAGATTGGCCAGCTGGTGTTCGAGATCCACCTGCACTGGCCCGGGTTCGAGGTCAGTGGCAGCGACAGCAGTGCCGTGCGGTTCTGGTACAGTCTCCTCAAAGAACTGGAGCAGAAGGACTTCAGGCTTTTCCACAGTTACAAAGACGCATCGAAGCCGCAGCTCTTCCTGAAGAGAGACACCTTCAATGCCAGCAGCTGTTATACTCTGAGCTGGGTGAACACAAGATGGAAATAGCGTGTGGGATCGCATCAAGACCCTCAGGGAGTACTTGCAGCATCAGCATGTCCACGATTCGGATGGTTCACTTGTCTGGTTCTTCTCGAAGTGGGGATGGTGGTATTGCCCTGTGTGTGTGTGGCCAGGTGCCTGGCTGGTGGGAAGAGCACAGCCAATACCAAGGATTTTCTTGGTACAGCGAGTCCACCTTCATCCACCCGGACGTGGGCTCTTTGCCTTTGGCAGAGTCGAGATGCCTGCCCTCCTCCTCGGTACCGTGTAACTAGCTGTACATCAAAGGTCATGTAGGATGGGTATGACCTCTGCCTTTGGATGTGACACTTCAAATGTTCCTAGAAAAATTGCCCCCGAGTTTGGGTAATTATAAATGAACAGAAATGATGCAGATCAAACACGTGTTGAAAACTTGCACCCCTGATATCTGGTGGCGTATTTTTAATGTTTGCTGTAAAAGCCACGGTGGGCTTGCCTGCGGTGAACCCAATTAAATGGAGATCCCTAGGGGAGCCGAGCTTCCTGTTTAGGAAGGTTTGTACTTCAGCTCATTTCCATGTCTCCCTTACATTTATTGTGCGTCTATAATCCACGAATTCACCCTCATTAAAAATAAAGTGTGCATTTTCAGTTTTGACTAGGTCGATGAGCTTTTGGAAGTTGTCGCTTACTCAGCAAACACAGGGCTGATTTTCATTTGTTTTTACCTTGGCTTTTGGAAGGCTGTTTTTTTGTGTGTGCTCGAGCTGACAGTAACGCTGTACAGCAGCGTGGACGTCAGCATGTCTGCACTGGCCTTTAAAGGCACCCTGGTGGCATAGTGATTATTCGTTGAACTGCTAACCATAAGGTCAGCAGTTTGAAACCACCAGCTGCTCCATGGGAGGAAAATGAGGCTTTCTACTCTCACAAAGAATTACAGTCTTGGAAACCCCCCAAGGCAGGTCTACCCTGTCCTACAGCGTCGCGATGACTTAGGCTGAAATCCACAGCCGTGAGTTTGAGTTTGGAGTTCTTACCAGCCTTGGTTGAAGCTCATGATATGACTTTGGAAAAACACCAGTTGATTCTGGCCTCAGGGGACACCAAAGCAAAGCCAAATTCACTGCTACCGAGTTCTTTCCAACTCAGAGCGACCCTATAGGACAGGGTAGAACTGCCCTTGCGGGTTTCTGAGACTGTCACTCTTTACGGGAGTAGAAAGCCTCACCTTTCGCTCATATGGCCCAAGGTATAACCACTCTACCATCTGGGACCCAGGCACACCAAATTTTTCTTCTGAATTCAAAACACTGAGCTTCCACAGAAGAGTCTTTCAGCCATGAATCTCCTCCTATTCCTATGGACCAATCACCGAGCAGAATCCGAGTGTCTCCACTGCTCTCTCTTCGGAGTTCCACCCAATTCCCCAGCCATGGACTTGCTCATGCTATAACATCTTTTCTTTCTTTCTTTTAAAAATAAATATGCTGCGTTTTTCTTTGCTGCAAGTTGGTATCAGTCATCCATTTGTAGACTGGGCCCCAACCCCTCCCTCTTTTTCCTTCGATGTTTACGCAGTGTTGTAGTGGTACCGTTCGTTCACATTTTTGTTTGAGCACAGTGAGATTCTCCATAGTTCAAAGACTCGCTAGCATTTCTAAATACCTAAGGATTAGACCAGGAGCACTGGTGGAGCAAACTGTTAAGCATTTAGCTGCTGACCTGGCAGGTTGGCGGTTCGAACCCACCCAGGGGCTGTAAAGATAAAACCGTATGGAGCTGGTCTCTCCCACACAGGCCGTGGGGAGCTACAACTTCATAGCACCCTGCAACTGCAACAAGGATTAGGCACTTACCTTGATTAATGATTGTCGAAAACCCGAATTCAAACAAATGAACTGAATAGTACAAACAAACCAGAAGCTCATTGCCAGTGAGTTGATTCCAATTCAGAGCAATCCTGGAGGTCATAGTAGAACTGGATCATTAAGAATTTTAAGACTAATCTGCGGGGAAAAGAGGAGGCTTTCTACTCCCATAAGATGAGTCGGCATTGACTCAATGGCCCTGAGTTTTGTTTTGTTTTGTTTTTTGGCATCTATGGGATCAGAAAGCCGCACATCTTTCTCCCACTGAATAGCTGGTGGGTTTGAACTACCAACCTTTAGGTTAACAGATGAGCACTTACCCACTGTTAACCAACCATCAGAGCTCATAGAGAGATAGATAGATATGCAATTCATGTACATCATATATATTTGTACATATACGCACGCACTTATTAGAGCCTTGTTAAAAAGTAAGTCTTTTTTCTGACATTCTTTTTGCATTCTGCGAAAACATGGAACTATATGCCCATTGCCTATTCAATAAAGGTTGGACCTGGAACTGAGCTCAGGACTGGAACTGGCTCAACTTTTAACTGAACAATAGTAAACAGTAACACCAAGGAGCAATCACCAGGGGCTCCTCGGCCAGGCCAGGCGTAAGGCAGGGAGAGGACGGAAAGACGAGGACAGGGGCAAGCGAAAGGAGGAGGTGGCGAGGGCGTGCGCTGAGATTGCAATCGCTGTCACACACGCAGAGAAACGTGTGTGAATTGTTTGGTGAGGAACCAATTTGTTCTATCTACTTTCACACAAATCACAATTAAAGGGGGAGGCGAGAAATCCAGTGTTCAGAATAGGTACAAAATCAGGGCTTGATACTTGCTGAAAGAGTTTTTTAAAATTGTTTTTGAGTGTCTGTGGGAGGGCGTAGAATACGTAGTTATCACTAGACTTTATCGCTTCTCCCATTTTTACCTATCGACACCCCCAGACACTCTCGGGGCTGCTGCTTGGTTTGGCAGGGCTTGAAACAGCCCACTCTTCAGGCGGGAAACCAAGAGGTATTAGAAATAAGATGGTTTCATTAAGCTGCATGCAAAAGGGAACAGGACTCTCTGAATTAGCATTCTTGATTTTTAAGAATAAAAATGAGGTTTTATATGAAAGCCAGGAGTAAAAGTCCTTGAACTGAGAGGAGTAGCTTGCATAAGAATGATTGGAGAGCGTACTTCGGTGCATGTTGGGGATTTTAGAAGTAAGGCAGGAGCCAGCAGAAACTCTAGAATGGGTTCTGCTTTTAGATTGCATGGCGTCATGCCCAAAGCAGGAGCCCTGGTGATGTATTGTTACACATTGGGCTGCGATCCTTGAGGTCCACAGTTCGAAACTACCAGATGGGACCTTCTTCTCCCGTACATAGTTACAGTCTCAGGGCCGTTCTACCCTGTCCTAGAGGGACAGGGCATGGCCTTAATAGCAGGGAGCTTGGTTTTGAAATTTTAATCTCGAAGGCAAAGGTAACTTTTAGCCCGGTTCTTATTTGAACTGTACCACAGATTCTTTTTTGTTCTTGTTGTTAAACAAAAAGTTTGTGGGAAAATTCCATTATCTTTTAATTCCATTTTCCCCACAAACTTTTTGAATCCCCCTCATACAGTATAGCTTTTTATACAGCAAACCTCTGTATACACTAAAACGTGAGAGGTGCACTAATTAAATGCACCGTTTGGTAAGCTTTGGGATATGTACACACCCGCAACACGAGATTCTTAATTTATGGGATTGAAGAGTTGGTGTTACCAGAAGCCCTCTTGGTACAGGGTGGGTCAACCTGCACCAGTCAGAGCAGAAGGTTGGCTCTTTGACCTGATCCACAGCATCTCAGGGCTCCACAGCATCTCAGGGCAGGGGTGGGGATGGGGGTGGGGGCTGGAACTAAATGTAACTGCCCCGGGTTTCGGGGGCTCAGAAGATTTCTGCCTTTGACAGGGTGCAGTTTTTTTTTTTTCACTGCGAAGAACAATTTTATTGTGTGTGTCATTAGCCATGCCTGTTTGTCATCAAGTGAATGCTGCTGTGCCATTACGCAAACACAGTCCGTTTATATTCACAATTCACTTCTCTACTACCAAAAAGAATCTTCATTTACGTAAGTGAAGATTTGACACAATGATGCAATTGAATATCTATGCTGTATGATGATTTATAGACAGCAATGTGGAGGTATTTGTAATCACCTTTCATCTGAGTGACTATGTAAAACAAAGCTGTCACTGAGAAGTTCCAAATCTTCAAAGTTTTCAAATGCACAGGCAGAGTAGCAGGCGTGCCAGGCAGCAAGATTTTTAAGAAGCGTCTTCCAAACCCACATCCTCTTGTAGTTTCTGTCCCATCTTGTCTTCCAGCTGCTTTCCTCTGCCTGCAAGAGGTGCCCGGATGAGATGGATGTTTTGCTTAACTTCTTTGATGTCGTGAACTTTCTGTAGCTCTTTCTTTGTCTTTAACCTGTTCATTATGAATGCAGCCTGGCGTTTCTGCTCGATCTCTTCCACCTTCTTCATTGCATCCATAGTCTTATTCCATAGCTCTCGCTGGTACTTGACAGGCTCATTGCTACGATTTTCAAATTCAAATGCATTATCCACTGTACGCTCTTTACCAGCGGCTCTCCGAAGGCCTCGGTTCCCCTGACCTTGCGAGGATTTCGCTTCTTCTTAAAGTGTTTATGACATTTGGATTTACAAAATCGGAACACCTTGCAGTCTTGGCGCACAAACATCATGCCGTGGCCGGGGTAGATGGACCCAGAACAGACATAACACTTCTCTATACGCAGGTTGAACCCGCGTGGATGCTACCCAGCCCGACGCTGACTTGAGAGGAAGTGACGTCCAGGGTGCAGTTTGGTCACTTGTCTGTTGCCGTCTATTCGTGGAAAATAGTTGAGTTTTCCTTTTGCGATGGGTTTCTGCCTTACACAGGTGCTGGCTTTGTAAGTTTTACTGCAAATGTATTTTAAAAGCTGCCATTTGGATGTGGTCTAAGCGCAAGAGCTCAGGCTTCGTCAGGGCTGGGTGGGAGAGACGGAAACACTGCCTGCAGAAACGGACCGACCTAGGGGAAGGCGCTGTGGGGAAACGGTAGCTTCGCATTTTGATGGTATTGTTTAGTAAAGGCTCCTGTGATTTGATAGCAATACTTTTTTTGTGGGAAAAAGATGGGGAAATCTACTCCAGTAAGTATTACAGTCTAAACACTCCCCTGGGGCCGTTCTACTCTGTCGTCAGTGATTGCCAACAACAGTCACGTGTGTGTTGGCTTTAAAACAGTGTAGTCAAATGGAAGTAAGAGATCATGGAATTCTTCCACGAACCTTTTGAAGCCCCCCTCCTGCCACTTTGTCTATGTATGTGTATCTATGAAGCAGGAATGGATGTTCTGTTAACAGGAGGGGGGGGCGGGAGGCAAATGCAAAATAAATCCCGAATCCCCACCCCCACCCCCACCTACGAGGCAGCTTGTTCAATAGTTATTTGTCCTTATTTGATGCTTATTTCTAGCCTGTCCTTCATTCCCCTCGCGATAGTTGGAACTTTATAATGGCTCTTCTGACTGGTGCTATGGTTTCCCTGCCTCTAGAATGTATTATGCTGGTTCTGGAGACCAGGCTTCCTTCGCCTTGGCACTGCGTAACTCTTTGTTGTCCTGCCCTGTCCTGGCCGTCGTAGGCTGACCTGGGCTGTCACACTGCCACCTGCCGTGAGGAGTGCCCTGGCCTGCTGCGGAGAAGTACTGTGGAAGGCCCCGAGAGAGAAGGGG